TTTCTCTGTCACTCTCTCTGTCTCTCTATGTGCTCTCTCTTTTCTCTCTTTGTCGCTCTCTCTGTGCTCTCTCGCTGCCTTTCTGTGTCTCTCTCTGTGCTCTCTCGCTGCCTCTCTGTGTCTCTCTCTGTGCTCTCTCGCTGCCTCTCTGTGTCTCTCTCTGTGCTCTCTCGCTGCCTCTCTGTGTCTCTCTCTGTGCTCTCTCGCTGCCTCTCTCTGTCTCTCTCTGTCTCTCTCTGTGTCTCTCTCTGTCTCTCTATGTGCTCTCTCTGCCTCTCTCTGTCTCTCTCTGTGCTCTCTCTGCCTCTCTCTGGTCTCTCTCTCCCTGTCTCTCTGGTGTCTCTCTCTGTCTCTCTGCCTCTCTGTCTCTCTCTGTCTCTGTCTCTCTGTGCTCTCTCTGTATCTCTCTGTGTCTGTCTCTCTGTGCTCTCTCTGCCTCTCTTTGTGCTCTTTCTGCCTCTCTCTGTGCTTTCTCGCTGACTCTCTGGTGTCTCTCTGTGCTCTCTCTGTCTCTCTCTGTGTCTGTCTCTCTGTGCTCTCTCTGTCTCTCTCTCTGTCTCTCTCAGTGCTCTACAGTCTCAGAGACAGTGCAGCGGAGAGCTTACATGTATTGATTCATTATTGATCCACTGTGGAACATACTAACCCTCTGTGACAGGAGCACTGTTTTACGGCTTATTAAAAAACACCAGCTCTTGTTTTATTGACGCTGTTGAAGGAGGAGGAGGAGGAGGAGGTGGGAGAGAACAGGGGAGAAATGAGATTGAGAATTATAGTAACAGTTTATCCGAATATTGTCAACAAGTAATGTCAATGCAGTGGTTTTATGTCATGTTTTTTGGATCCTAACAGACACTTCACATGTGTCATTATTCTTTCACTCCATTCACTGTGCTGATCAACTACTGCTCTAGCCACAGCTGCCCTGGGGCACACTGACAGAAGCGAGGCAACCAGTATGTGGGTGAAGTGTCTTGCCTAAGGACAAAGTAACAGTTTGGCACTTTGCAGCCGCCCCACTGTGGTCTCCCATCGCAGCACTAACCAGACCCTGCCCTGCTTAGCTTCTTAGGTCTGACGAGATCTGGCTTTCACCTGCAGGAGGCCTTCAATCAAAGCGGACACGAGCTTTGTATTTTAATTTGACTTGCAACCGGTTTTAAATATGGTCTCTCTTTAGTCTCTCTGGTTTCTCTGGTCTCTATCTGTCCTCTCTCTCAAGTCTCTCTTTGGTCTAAATCTCTGGTTTCCTTCTGGTCTCCCCCTCTGGTCTCTGTCTGGTCTCTCCCTCTGGTCTCTCTTTAGTCTCTCCCTCTGGTCTCGCTCTGGTCTCTCTTTAGGCTCTCCCTCTGGTCTTGCTTTAGTCTCTTCCTCTGGTCTCTCTTTAGTCTCTCTTTCTGATCTCTCTCTTTAGTCTCCCTCTGGTCTCTCTCTGGTCTCTCTCTGATCTCTCTTTAGTCTCTCTCTCTGGTCTCTCTCTTTAGTCTCTCTCTGGTCTCTCTCTGATCTCTCTTTAGTCTCTCTCTCTGGTCTCTCTCTTTAGTCTCTCTCTGGTCTCTCTTTAATCTCTCCCTCTGGTCTTGCTTTAGTCTCTTCCTCTGGTCTCTCTTTAGTCTCTCTCTGGTCTCTCTCTTTAGTCTCTTTCTTTAGTCTCTCTCTGGTCTCTCTTTTTAGTCTCTCTCTGGTCTCTCCCTGGTCTCTCTTTAGTCTCTCCCTCTGGTCTCGCTCTGGTCTCTCTTTAATCTCTCCCTCTGGTCTTGCTTTAGTCTCTTCCTCTGGTCTCTCTTTAGTCTCTCTTTCTGATCTCTATCTTTAGTCTCTCTCTGGTCGCTCTCTTTAGTCTCTCCCTCTGGTCTCTCTCTGGTCTCTCTCTTTAGTCTCTTTCTTTAGTCTCTCCCTCTGGTCTCTCTCTGGTCTCTCTCTTTAGTCTCTTTCTTTAGTCTCTTCCTCTGGTCTCTCTCTTTAGTCTCTCTCTGGTCTCTCTCTTTAGTCTCTCTCTGGTCTCTCTCTTTAGTCTCTCCCTCTAGTCTCTCTTCTGAATCTGAAACCCGACCTCCCCATGTTTAAACCTAAATAAGTTACATTTTGCCTCTTTTTGCAAACCTCTCCAGACTTTTCATTTCAACCTTTGTTTCTCGTGAACTATAAAAATCAAGGAAAACAATTCAAAATCAGAAAGAATGAAAGAAAAGAAGTGCGGCGTCGAGCTGCAGGCGACGGCAAAATCCTCATCTTTTCCTTCGTCACTGATGCAAAACCTGCTGATTATTCTCATGTTTTTGCAAATGAATAATAAGCACAATTCTCACTCCGATAAGTTTCATTTGGAAATATGTCAAAACTCTGTAAAGTCATTCCCAGACACAGGAAGTACAACACTTTTAATTACTATTTTGATCGTGGTGGAGCATGTACGGCATGAGTTTCACCGACGTGGAATCCTCAAGAACTTTGTCACTTTTAGGAGAAGTTTTCTGTCTATTTGTTTCATTTCTTTGCTTTGACAATTCAATTCAATTCAATAACTTTATTAATCCGTGAGGAACTTCATTTACAGACAGAGCACCGGTGGGGGTACACAAAAACACAGAGACACGCAATCTAAGAATAAAAACAGTAAAAGAGCAGAAATACAATATAAAATACATAAAACAGGTTTCGAATCAGCTGTTTAAAAGGCGAATTGAGGTTGGGAGGAAGCTGGATGTGGCCCTTTTTGTTTTGAATGGGAGGGACCTGAACCTACGCCCTGATGGGAGCAGACTGTAGTGTGAGTGCAGAGTGTGGGAGCTGTCTGTGGAGATCTGGGAGCCTTTCCTTAAAACTTTGTAATTGTAAATGTCTGTGAGTGAGTCTTGCTGCTGTCCAATGATTTTGCTGCTGATTTTAATGATCTTATTGAGTGAATTCCGATGTATGAGACTGAGTGAGCCAAACCAAGCTGTAATGTTGAAAGTGAGAATTGATTCAATTAAGCATTTGTAGAAAACAGAGAGAATGGATTTGTGAACCTGAAGTTTACAGAGTTTGCGGAGGAAGAAAAGGCGCTGTTGACATTTAGAAAAGATAAGTTCAGTATTGTCCTGGAAAGTGAGTTTATGATCGATTATGGTGCCAAGATATTTGTATGAATTAACCTTTTCTATGGGGTCATTGTTGACAGTGAGTGTGGGAGTGGGGGAGTGTCCATGATGGAAGAAAATGACCATTTATTTTGTCTTTGAGACATTTAGGTCCAGGCAATTGTCTCTACACTACTGAGTGAAGGAGTCCAACTCAGTCTGCAGAAGTCCTGGTGTGTTAGTCGTGTCCATGATGACTGTGTCGTCAGAGTATTTGATGTATGTTATTCCCGGGGTATTGCTCGTGCAGTCGTTTGTATACAGAGTGAAAAGAAGTGGGGAGATTACTGAACCTTGAGGTGAACCGGTGGATATTGTCCTGAGAGAGCTGAGGTGACCATTCACCCTCACCTTTTGATCCCTCGCCGTGAGGAAGGAAAGGACCCAGAGGATGAGGTGAGGGTTGACATCCAACTGGAGCAGCTTGTGTCCCATGAGATGAGGTTGCAAGGTGCTAAATGCGCATGAGAAGTCCACAAAGACCATGCTCACTAGAGACTTGGGCTTCTCCAGATGGCAGACAGCTCCATGCAGCAGGGTCAGCACAGCATCATCCACGCCTCGATGCAGCTGGTACGCAAACTGCAGAGGGTCGGAGCAGGCGCCAACATCAGCCTGCAGCTGGGTCATGACAAGCCGCTCAGAGCTCTTCATGATCAGTGATGTTAGAGCTACAGGCCGATAATCATTATTGATGGTGGGATTGGTCTTCTTTGCCACTGGGCAGATGATGGAAGATTTCCAGAGGGAGGGGATGAAATGCTCATCCAAGGAGCGATTGAACAGAGAGCAGAAAACACCGGCTACACTGTAAACCCGGATAAGTTCAATACACTTAAATCGTTTGAGGAAACCGATTCCCTTCAAATGGTTTGAGTAACTGACCCAAAACTAAAAAATAATTGATTGAGTAGAGTAAACTCAAAAGTAAAACATTTCACAAATTAGTATATGGATTCATAGCCAGTTAATGTGTTTAAGTATTCAATATTTCAAAACTAATTTGTTTAAGTATAATTAACTTAACTTATTAAGGGAAGTACCAATATAAAACTCAATTGTTTAAATAGTGTCAATATTAGAAAACTCAAATGTTTGCTTAGTACTACTTTAAAGCTCATATATTTAATTAAAACTAACTTAAAATGTTAAGGCAAACACACTCAATAGCTCGATATCAAAGGACATGCTAATGACCAGAAAAGGCAGTTTTTTTAAAAGCAATTTTATTCAAAATGGCTTTGTCCCAGAATTCGTTCAGGCACTTATGGTTCTCCAAGTGATGTGCGTAAGTCAGTCCAAACAGGAGACACTTTTCCCAAAGGAAGACTGCAGAATCCAGAAGGATGCCAAATTGCTCTGGACTTGGAATTTTCACCATTGATTATGATTTCTATGGGGATGTGGGTCACCATCAGCAGCATTCTGCAAAGGGGAAACAAGAAGAAACAGTGAGTAACCCGTTTGTGGAGAAGTACTGGTCCTTCCAATTGTCAATCCTTCTTGTCATTTGTGCTCGTCAAATAAGACCAGAGTTTTGTTAAAAAAATGGAGAGGGCGGTTCTTTCCTATAATCTTTCCCAGGAAGTGCATTCACATGTGTGAAAACATCCTAATATGTGTTTTGGGTTGTATCTGCTTTTTTTATGTTTTAGAATTTGTAAAACACATCAACCAGTAAAAGAAAAAGTATAATTTGAACATTCAAACATTACTTACTTTGTGACTTGTGTTGAACTTAAAAGCATTGTCCCCGAGAAGAACAGAAGCCCTCTGTATGGTCCGAACATCAGCTGACAGTTACATGCTCTGCAAATAGTTAAAACAGATGTTTACCACTTCTAATCATGAGAAGAGACATGTTGTACCAAGATTAAATTATGAGGCAAACTCACCTTTTGCTTTTGAATGTTTGCCTTCATATTCTGTCCTTCTGGTGAAAACTTCTTCAAAGCCAAGGTAGAAACCATCCAGAGAAGTAAATAATTCTCCAATGGACGTTTTTCCAGTAATTATGTTGAATTCCGAGTTGACCTTTAAACAAGCCCCAATTATTACTTTAAAAAATATAACACAAGATTTGCAATAAACAAACAAACCTGGCATTCAGTCACCCCTGAACAATCCGGCTTGACCACTTCAGCTCTGAAAGAAAGGAAAGATCATTTTAAAATAATTTGTGTTACTTTGAGCAACTATAACCCAAACCCCACAACAGGTCTGTGTAACCTTATCTTTACAGTAAATAAATCTTTACAGCCATGACACTAACAGTGAAAGTGCGCGCACTGAACTAACCGCCCTCTTTAGTTCAAAGTAAAGACTTGATTCTCTGGTTTGCAGCAGTAGCACCAGAGTTAGCTTAGCTTAGCTTACATTTCAAACCTCCAGCGGCTCAGCAACATGAGCGACCAGCTCTGTGCTTTTCCCATGGACGCTGGAGCAGACTCTCCACGTGGCTCCTGCTGGTCCCCTCTCTGCTCCTGCTGGTCCCCTCTCTGCTCCTGCTGGTCCCCTCTCTGCTCCTGCTGGTCCCCTCTCTGCTCCTGCTGGTCCCCTCTCTGCTCCTGCTGGTCCCCTCTCTGCTCCTGCTGGTCCCCTCTCTGCTCCAGCTGGTCCCCTCTCTGCTCCTGCTGGTCCCCTCTCTGCTCCTGCTGGTCCCCTCTCTGCTCCTGCTGGTCCCCTCTCTGCTCCTGCTGGTCCCCTCTCTGCTCCTGCTGGTCCCCTCTCTGCTCCTGCTGGTCCCCTCTCTGCTCCTGCTGGTCCCCTCTCTGCTCCTGCTGGTCCCCTCTCTGCTCCAGCGTCCGTGGGAAAAGAACGGGAGCAGATCGCTAACGTCGCTATGTCACTGGAGTCCGGTGTAATACGTGTGCAAGCTTCAGTGACAGAGACTGGCTCCGTGTACCGTATATAATAAAAAGTGCAAAAAAATAACCTTGTCTAAAAATGGAGAAAAACAATAGACTCAAAACAATGTTCAGGAGATTACATTAGCTTGCGCAGCTGCATAATGTAAAATACATTGAAAAAAAATAACTTAATACAAAGATTTAACTCACCTTTGACTTGAGGAAGAGTGCGCTCCATTGACTACAGACTGGAAAAACACGTTCAAGTCCGAGGAAAACATGAATAAACTGCTTATTCTTGAAACATTCAAACAAACGACTCTGTCCAGACATGTCCCTGGTTCCAGTGCAGCCGGGACAAATATGGGAGGAGCTATGAAAACTTAAAGATAGTGAAAGTGCTTTCAACTTAAAGGTTGTAGTAGTGATCTCATTTACTTGTTTATTTGAGTGTTGACCTCAAAACTCATTCTCTTACACACATTTGTACTCAAACTATATTTTAGAATAAACTTAAAATAGATTGGACCAAGTTAAATGTATTCATTCTAGTGCATCACATGCAACACTATATATGTTAAGTCCTTTCAACTTCAACCAAAGAGTTCTCTCTGCCACACTTGTATGATTTGAGTTTTACAGAGAAAATTATTTACCATCAGTGGTTAGAGCTGAAACCATTAGAGTGCAATTAACTTTCGGGTTAACAGTGTAGCTGACTGCTGCAGACTTTGAGCAGACGCCCACAGATCAGATCCGGACCCGGAGCCTTATTGGGTTTAATCCCCCTAAAGGTGCGCTCTACATCCTCAGGCAGCAGCTGCAGGTTAGCAGTGGAGAGGGTCATGGAGGAGAGCTCAGCAGAGAGCTCATCTCTCTCCTTAGTGTGATCACACAGGTCAAACCTGCAGTAAAAGTTGTTCAGGTCCTCAGCCATACGGACACACACCTCAGCAGGGAGTCCAGATATGGGAGAAGAAGTGGAGAGACCAGCCAGAGTTTTAACACCCCGCCAAGCGTCCCTAGCTTTGCCGTTTAAAAAAAGCATTTCTACTTTATCCTTATACGTCCTCTGAGCTGACTTGATTTCTTTATTAAGTCTGTTTTGAATGACTTTACCTTCCACCAGCCTGCCCGAGTTAAATGCTATTTTCTTCTCATTTAGGGTAGATTTCAGAGCTTTAGTTATCCATGGCTTATTGTTTGAAAACACTTTCACAGTTTTTGTTGGGACAAGCATATCTTCGCAGAAGGTGATGTAAGATGTCACTACATCAGTAGCCTCCTCAATGCTGCTGCCCTCAGTGAGTGCATCCCATAGTGTACAGTCAAAACAACCCTGAAGTTTAACTTGGGTGTCCTCATCCCACTTTTTTACCCGCTTCTTAACTACCCTCTCTCTGTAGCTTAGTGCGGTATGATGGAACCAGGTGGATGACATTATGATCTGCTGTGCTCAGTGGGGGTTTTTTATAAGCTCTGTATGCATCCTTTATGTTGCCATAGCAGAGATCAATAGTTTTGTTACCCCTGGTGGCACAGGTACACACTGATGGAGGAATGTACACAAGCACAAGCGCCAGCCGTCCAAACTCTCTGGGGAGGTATTTGGGTCTAAAGGACAGAGCGAGCAGTAGGGCTACAACTAACGATTATTTTGATAATCGATTAATCAGGCAATTATTTTGACGACTAATCGATTAATCGGTTTATGTACTTATATTTTAGTTTTGCCAATTTTTTTCCAAGTAAATTGTTAACAAAGGGCCTTCATCATTCAACATAGACTTTTTAGAGATTTTAACCATTTTACATATTCATATCCACATCAAAAACATATCTGGAGCTGTTTATTATGTCTTTGTAATCCTTTGTTGAACTCAATGTCGACCATCAAAACAAAACACTGACCGTTACATACTCTAGGAAATTTCACAAGGAGATTTCCAATAATGTTTTCACCATGAAAATCCTTAGGGCTTCTGAAGTAGTTTAAAATCCCGAACAAGGCTTATTTAAGTTGATAAACTGGATAAATGTTTTTTTTTTTTACATCTTTGTGCAAATTAGTTGAAAGTAAGTACGTTTTTTTTTTAATTTATATACCGCCTTTTCACTGCAGATCTGAGTCTCAAAGCGGTTTACAATTGTTAATGTCTTTTTTTTTGGGCATTTGTCTCTCACTCCACACAGAGATGGGAGCGGGGCCAGTACAGGAAGCGCATGCCAGAACTATTGGACATATTTTTAGTGGTAGGGGAAACCGGAGTACCCGGAGGAAACCTACGCAGACACGGGGAGAACATGCAAACTCCACTCAGAAAGGCCCTGGTCCGACTGGGATTCGAACCCAGGACCTTCTTGCTGAGAGGCAAGAGTGCTATCCACTCAGCCACGTGGCTGATCAACTTTATGCCTAAAACAGTGAGTGTGGCGCCATCTTTTGCAAACAGTCAGTACTGCAGAGAGATGATGTCAGTTTAAGGTGCTCACGCAGAGACGTAGTACTCCCGTGCCAGGCCAAGTCAGTAGCGCAGAGTTTACAGGTTACTCTTCTTTTTAGAAGGTTCAAAGTAAAGTGCTCCCACACTTTGGATGACTTCGTTTGATTAGGTTTGTCTTCTGCTTTTTTCCTTTTCTTTCTCGAGCTTACTCCATCTTGCTGTATGCTGAAGAGAAGCTGTGCGCGAAGCATGTGACATAAAAGGAGGCCAGCTATTGGCTATTTGCTACTTCTCCTGCTGTAAAACCTCCGGTGGCTCATTACTGCTACCATTTGGTCACCGCAGAGTTAAAATATGCACGACATGAGCCGCTTACGGCAAAATAAAAGTAATCTAGCAACTAATCGATGACTAAATTAGTTGACAACTATTTTAATCGATTAAATCGATTAGTTGTTTCAGCTCTAGCGAGCAGCTCCACGTCAGGTGTACAGCTAGACTCTGTGACAGTCGCCGCTCTGCTCCATGCCTGATTGACGTACACACAGACCCCGCCCCCGTGGCTCTTCAGACTATGTCCCGGTCCTGGCGCACGGGTGCTCCGAAGCCGCTAAGAGAGAGTTGTGAATCTCCGATGGTGTTGTCAAGCCATGTCTCAGTGACACAAATTAGGCCAGCATCTTTATGAGCCCATTGATGGGAGATATTGGCATGTAACTCAGCAAGCTTGTTGCGAAGAGAACGAACGTTGGCGAGGAGAATGGAGGGTAGTGGAGGACTTTTGGATGTACCGGAGAGTCTCTTCAGTCTCTGCCTCACTCCTCCCCTCCTCCCCCGCTTCCTCCTAATGACAGGTCTGCTCGCCCTGGTGCTGTCGCTAATATGGCACGGGAGGATCCCAGCGACAGTTTGTAAATCCAATGGTACTGGATAGTCCACATCCCGAAGGAGTAGTAACTCTTCACGGCTATAGCGCACAGTTTTCAGCCCAAGCGCGAGCAAGGGACCATATGTTAGCCACAGTAGCACAAGCAGGGCGCACACCCACTTCCCCATGACAGGTCCGTTTGTCAGGGAAGATAGAGGCTTGGAATCGGTATGATGGTGCGTAAATCACAAGATAGTTAGTTAGGTCAGAACCCGAAAGCTTCGTGGTTAAAACAGATAGGATTAGCGTGTCAAATACATAATAACCGACGGTCCCCATCCAGGACGCTCCTCCGTGAGTCGCCACCACAGCGCCACGGTGTGGTGGCGCCAATAATAAGCCTAAAACCTCATTTCCACTGCGCAAAACGGACACTTTTTTGCCTGAAAAAATCCCGGGTTACTCTCTCCTCACAGACTAAAAAACACTCAGCCAACCCAGAAAGCAGACTGGTTTTTAGGCTGATTCTCGGGCAATGCAAGGTTATTTGTATAGCACAGGTCATACACCAACTCAAAGTGCAGAACAAAACGAGAAAAATATTAAAATCACACCAGGCTTTTGAAAGACAAATTCACAGTACATTAAAAAGAGTGAAAAAAACAATTCTTCAGTTTCAGAATTGTTTTTAACCTAGATTTGAAAATTGTCAGAGAAGAACCTTGTCTCACATTTTCTGGAAGACTAAAGCCCTCCCCATTGTTAGTCTTGACTCTGGGACCAGCAGGAGGCCAGTCCCTGTGCTCCTCAGAGTCACCAGCAGGAGGCCAGTCCCTGTGCTCCTCAGAGTCCCAGCAGGAGGCCAGTCCCTGTGCTCCTCAGAGTCACCAGCAGGAGCCCAGTCCCTGTGCTCCTCAGAGTCCCAGCAGGAGACCAATCCCTGTGATCCTCAGAGTCCCAGCAGGAGGCCAGTCCCTGTGCCCCTCAGAGTCACCAGCAGGAGGCCAGTCCCTGTGCCCCTCAGAGTCACCAGCAGGAGGCCAGTCCCTGTGCCCCTCAGAGTCACCAGCAGGAGGCCAGTCCCTGTGCCCCTCAGAGTCACCAGCAGGAGGCCAGTCCCTGTGCTCCTCAGAGCTCCTTTAAAGCTTACCTTCTCATGTTATGTCTTTCATGGGTTACAGTGTTAACCCATGTCTGTACCTATGTAGATAGAGTTAAAGGTACACTGTGTAGTTTTTACTCCCATCTAGCTTTGAGATCATAAATACAATATGTGGTCTGACTGTGGTCCCCAACTCCCGCCCAAACTCCTTTTTGTCCCTTACCAGCCACTGTATTTCAACATGGCGCATCGACACAGAATCCTCCAGCCTCATGGACATTTACAAGTCAAATTCTAAGCCTTTGAAAACAATTCAAAAACATGGTTTAGGTAAATAAAAAGGTCACATTTGTTATTTGCTGAACATGTTTACACAGAGTACCTTTAATTAAACCTTCTTTAACCTTTCGTTTCAGTTTTGGTTCAGTCCAAACAAACAGTGAGAAATAACACCTGCACACCTGCACATCTGCTCTGTGTGGGCAATTAACTATCTATAAAAACTGACAAACTAACTCCTTTGTTCTCCTTGGTCCTGGGTTCACTGCGGCGACAAAGAAATCCTTGTTCTGTAAAAAATAAATACTAAAAATACTAATCTGTCCTGGTCCTGGTTTGAACCCAAAGCTGAACTAAAGTTGACTCATGCGGGACTTTGACCAAATCTCTGGCCTCTCGCCACCTCTGACCCGGCCCGAGGTAAACGTTTACAAACAAGTGTCAAAGGCAAATGATGGAAAAGGTCGGAGTGAAGACCTGCAACATGAGCACATTCCTCTCACTTACAGAGATCAAAGTCAGCGCCAGAACCACATCCAGATCCTCATCAACCACGGCCTCATTATTTTATCATTAAGGAGTTTTACAGTGGTCTCTCTCTGGTCTCTCTCTCTGGTCTCTCTCTGGTCTCTCTCTCTGGTCTCTCTCTCTGGTCTCTCTCTGGTCTCTCTCGCTGGTCTCTCTCTGGTCTCTCTCTGGTCTCTCTCTGGTCTCTCTCTCTGGTCTCTCTCTCTGGTCTCTCTCTGGTCTCTCTCGCTGGTCTCTCTCTGGTCTCTCTCTGGTCTCTCTCTGGTCTCTCTCTCTGGCCTCTCTCTGGTCTCTCTCTCTGGTCTCTCTCTCTGGTCTCTCTCTGGTCTCTCTCTCTGGTCTCTCTCTGGTCTCTCTCTCTGGTCTCTCTCTCTGGTCTCTCTCTGGTCTCTCTCTCTGGTCTCTCTCTCTGGTCTCTCTCTCTGGTCTCTCTCTCTGGTCTCTCTCTCTGGTCTCTCTTTGGTTGCTCTCTGATTTCTGTCTGGTCTCTCTTTGGTCTCTCTCCCTGGTCTCTCTCTCTCTCTTTTCTCTCTCTCGGGTCTCTCTCTCTGGTCTCTATTTGGTCTCTCTCTGATCTCTTTCTTGTCTATCTGTCTTTTCTCTCTCTCTGCTCTCTCTTTGGTTGCTCTCTGGTTTCTCTTTGGTCTCTCTCTTTGGTCGCTATCTGGTCTCTCTCTGGTCTCTCTTTGGTCTCTCTCTTTGGTCGGTATCTGGTC